CGGGAGCGCCGGATGGGGCGGGAACATCCGGCAGCGGCGGCGGCGGGAGCGGAGAGCCCGCGGTGGGTGCGCGTCCTTGCGGTGCTGGGCACCGGCTCCTCACAGGGCGGGGAGCGTCCCCCGCTGCACACGGGGACTCCGGAGGGCGCCGACACGTGTCCCTGTAAGGTGCAGGGGTGCTGGGGCACAGAGGCCCAGCGGAGCGTGCTGGGAGGCACTGGGGAGTCGGGGACGGTGCAGGAGGCAGAGTCCCCTGCTGTAGACAGGGTTTGGGGGCTGTGTCCCCCTCTCCGTAAGATGCTGAGTCCTGGGACACCAAGAAGGAAGGAGGTGTCCCCAGGGTGATGGAGATGCAGGGATCCTGTGGGGTTTTTGGGGGGTTCCCTGGGATTGCCCCATAGGGCAGTGAGGGGCCCCAGTTACACAGAGGGATGCTATATGGTGCCAGCACTGGTCCCCATAAGGTTTTGGGGGTCTCTGGGGAATAAGAGACTGCCCTATAGGATTGTGGGGTGCCTGGGGAGTTGGATGACAGGGATCCTGTAGAGCAGGAAGGGTCCCCTGCTGCAGACAGGGACCTCACAGGGTTTGAGAGGGGAGGGAAGGGGCCCTTGGGTGCTGAACAAGGAGAAAAGCTGGAGGGTTGGGGTGCTGTCCTCCTTAGGGTTTGGGGAGGGTTTTCAAGGGTTCTGGGGGGCAAAGACTCCTTCACAGATGGATGGGGATCCACAGGGTGCTGGAGAGCCAGGGTACACCAACCTGGAAGGTCCCCTGAGATGCCAGAACCCCTGCACTGTGGGGTGACAGCCGGATCCCCAGGCTTGTGTGTCTCCCACCTGGGATCATCTCCAAGAGAGGTTCAGGGGAAGTTGGACACAGGACTCCGGGCTGCAGCTTTCACATGCTTCCCATCATGACTCTCCCTTTTCCAGCCATCCCACTGAGCTTTTGGGGACCCTTTCCTGCACCAGAACTGTCGCCTTTTCTGTCCATTCCCATATCTGGGAAAAAATTAATGCTAGTAATAGTAATAACACTACTAGTAGTGCTAATAATACCTTGCTTCCATCCTAAAGCTCCTTTATTTTAAAGATGAGGTAAAATAAGGCAAAGGCAGCAGAGTTAGGTGATGCAGAGATAAGTCTGGAATAATGGATGTTGCCTGAAGTGTTTCTAATGAACCCACAGAACAATAAGGAATCTTTGCAGATGCTTTATTGAGGAAAAAAGATATTGCCGAGACATTGCAAAGAAAACCTCCTCCACACCAAAGCTTAACCTGCTTGAAGCGCACCAGCGGGATTTCCCAGACTATGGGAGGATGTTGAGAAGGAGAAAGCAGCGGGGCTGGGGCTCTAGGAGGAGGTGCTCTGCTGGGGCACGCGGTGGTTGGCCAGGTCCCAGCGCACAGCAAAGCGCAGGGCGTCACGCTTCTTCATCGTGGGCACCTCGTAGTTATTGGGGACGAGGCGCTTCTGCGCCCGCGGCGGCAGCCCCAGCTGGAGCATCTGCTGCCGCACGGCCCAGCGCAAGCTCTGACGTGCATCCTCCCCAGGAAAGCGGAATTTTTGCCAGGCTTGTCTATATTTGTTCAATACAGTCACTGGGTCAGTTCTCCTCACTCGTTCAGCCTGTGAAATAATGTAGGACAAGGGCGGTCGCTCTGGAATGGAGTCGCTCCCAAAATCCCCAAGGAGAGAGCGGGGGCTGTCCTCAACGAACCAGTCATCATCATTATCATCAAAGTGCAGGTAGTCCTCCATGGTGCCACGCCTGGTCTCTAATTTCTCTCTGGAGTCGATGTCATCCAGATTAGTCCTGGAATGCCCCAGGAATGGTGGCTTGGCGTTCGGTGACTCATCGGAGACCTCCACCCTTCCATCGGGTCTGTGCCTCAGCACCTTCCTCTTCATCACCTTGGTTTCCCTGTGACCCGTGGGAAGGGTCGACTGTGCATCAGCAGCAATGGATGAGTTGGCATAGGGATCGTGGGAACGTGACAGCCCCTCGCTGCCTCCCTCCCAGGAGCTCAGCTGGCTCCAATCAGCTGCCAGCTGCTCCTCACTCTCTGCTCCTAGCACCTTCTCCATGCTTCCCACCAAACTGGGTGGATTCTGCAGAAAAAAGAAACCAGGGTTAATTTATTGCAGTACATTCAGGCTGACTAAAGATGTCAGAGGGGCTCTGACACTCAAGTTTTTGGGTTCAGTGGTGCTGATTTATGTTGGGGGTGTCCTCAGTGCGCTGCTTAATCTCCTGCTGCCAGCAGAAGGCTCTTCCCTACAGTAACACAAATACAACCCCTAAATTCCTGCTAGAAAACTACACTAGAATTAATTATGTGATAAATGAAGTCCTTATGGAAAAACACAGGACAGGTTCCTTGCACTGGATGAGAGATTAATGGTCTTTCCTTATATCTCTGCTTCTAAACCCAAAATATTTAGTCATAATTTAATCAAGAGAGATCCAAGAGGGTGTTTTACTTCCAGAGGAGGGAAGGGCTCAGTGCAGTGTTTAGATGTTCATTTATGAATCTGGTGGTAGTAAACCTCCAGCCCTGTGGCAAAAATGGACCCAGACATGGATTCCACCCTCAGCATGGGTTTAGGATCTTTTTCAGGCGATTTGAAAAGCCACAAGTGTTGCCGGTGCCGCTGGGAACAGTGGGAGCAGATGGTGGGGCGGGATGAGTGGCAGCCATCAGCACGCTGTCTGCAGCGGGGATGCAGGTGTGAATGTGACAAGGGCTCCGTGACGGCTCGCCGGGAACGTGCTGCTGCTGACGGAGCAGATCCCATCAGCTGGGGGAAGAGGAGTGATTGAAGAGTCCAAAAAAAGAGATTTGAGTGAAATGAAGCTGCCCAAGCTAAGCACCAGTGGCTCTGCCCTGCCTGTGCTCCCCTGGGAACACCAAGGGCCTCAGACAATAAAGACTGACTCTGTTGGTAACAGTTATTTTGCAGAACAAGCCTAGAAATCTAATAAAAAACACATAAAAATGCAAATCCACCATTTTTTTCTTTTCCTGCAGATCTCAAGGATCCACCAGCAACAAACACTCCAAGGTGGTGGCTATGGCTGAGGAGAACACGGCTACTGACCATGAGCAGCTCCTGAGGAGGGTGCAGGAACTGGAAGTGGAGGTGAAACGGCTGCAAGAGAAGCTCCAGGAGGACAAGGAGGGTGCTGGAAGGAGAGAGGCTCCTCCAGCCCCTGGGAAAGGCAGGAAACGCCAACAACGGCCCTTTGATTTCAGTGCCCACAGCCGCAGACATGTGGCACTGCGCATCGCCTACCTGGGCTGGGGCTACCAGGGCTTTGCCAGCCAGGAGAACACCCCCAACACCATCGAGGAGAAGCTTTTTGAAGCCCTGAAGAAGACACGGCTGGTGGATGACAGACAGACGTCCAACTACCACCGCTGCGGGCGCACTGACAAGGGTGTCAGTGCCTTCGGGCAGGTCAGCATCTCCATGGAGGTTCCTGTGGGTTTTCCTGGGTGGGATGGAGTTCTGATGGGATTACTGTCCCACAGTACAGCTTGGATTTGTTCTTTAAAAGACATCAGCTCTTAACCCTGGAAGTGAACCTGGCAGTGGCTTCCTGCATGTGCAGTGATGATTTCAGACCTTGGAAGCCTTTCCAGTGCCATTTCCCCGCTATGTTAGTTGTTTTCCAGGGCCCTGTTTTAGGAGGATAAAATGTGTTTTAGGCTGCAGATTTCCCAATAGATCAGTGATACCCTGCCCTTGGCAGGGCCCTCTCACTGACTTAACTTGCCAATCCTACAAAAACCCAAAATCTCCAGGAACTGGCTCACTTCCTGCAGCATCAGGCAGCTGAATTCTTGCACAGAAGGGTCTGAGTGGAGCTGCAGCCAGCGGAAGGGAGCGTGGGAGTGGGAGCTGGAGGGAGGGAAGCAAGCTGGCCTGCTCGGTGGGCATGGAGCCATCAGGCTGGCTGAGACACTGGGGAGAACACAACCTTGGTGGCTTCACCATAGGGCTGGGTCTCCTTTCTTCCCTCCCAGTGCAGAAAGCAGAGCTGGCGTAGGTTTAACTTCAAAGGGCTGCTCTGCTCTCCTTCATGAGATGAGCCACATGGAATCAGGGCATTTGGTGCCTTCTCTTGCACCACTCCAGCACACAGCACCCAGGGTGGGAATGAACCTGTTCCCACACCAGGCTTCCTGGCCAGCAGGCTGTTATTGCCTTCAAGTCATCACCTCCAGCTTGGAAAAGAAAAGTACATTATAACCCAGTGACTAAAGATGAAGCCATTCTGAGACCGTGATACGTAGGCAGCCTGCAACTTTCCCTGTTTTATTAATGGAATCCATGGCATCTGCTTGGGTCCACAGAGGCACTCACAGCTCTGCCATGGCAGAATTGCCTGACTGAAGCCACCTTCATATGTAGGAGATCCTGGATTTATTTCCCAGAGGTGTGGGAAGACTTGGCTCCACATGCTGCTGCGCCTATCCATCCACGCTCTAATCCTGCCTTTCGTCATTTCTGCAGGTGATCTCCCTGGATCTCCGCTCCAGCCTGCCAGAGGGGCAGCAGCTCAACGGCCACGAGGGTGAGGGGCAGCAGGAGGAGCTCCACTACACCCACATCCTGAACAGGGTGCTGCCAGCCGACATCCGAGTGCTGGCCTGGGCCCCCGTGGAGCCAGAGTTCAGCGCCCGCTTCAGCTGCCTGAGCCGGACCTACCGGTACTTCTTCCCCTGCGCCCAGCTGGATGTGGCCCTCATGGACACCGCAGCCCAGCGCTACGTGGGCACCCACGACTTCCGCAACCTCTGCAAGATGGACGTGGCCAACGGGGTGCTCAACTTCCAGCGGACGATCCTGAGTGCCAGAGTGACGTGGGTGGACAGGGGAGGAGAAGCCAGGCCACGGGATCCCTTCCAGCTGTGCCAGTTTGAGGTGACAGGACAGGCGTTCCTGTACCACCAAGTCCGCTGCATGATGGCCGTGCTCTTCCTCATTGGCCAGGGCATGGAGAGCCCAGATGTCATTGATGAGCTGCTGAACGTGGAGAAGAACCCCCGGAAACCACAGTACAGGTAAGGATTGGTCTGGAAAACCCAATGGGCTGCTCTTCAGAGCAACAGCTGTCCCTAGAGAGCTGCTGGCAAGCCATGCCAGCACATGAAGCAGTCTCACGCATGGAAACAGGCTGCCAGTGGCCTCACTGGAATGTATCCACAAGGATGTCTCTTCTTTTGTTCTTGAGCAAAGTTTTGATAGCTGTAGTCCTTGGTATTTAGTAAAAATTAAGTTGCTTTTTACTTAGAAAGGAAGTTCTGTGAAGGTTAGGGCTGGTTTTGGCAAATCATTGTTCTTGAGCCTTTTTGTGCTCCTACCTGCTGTCCTTGTCCCCAGCATGGCGGTGGAGTTCCCCCTGGTCCTGTACAACTGCGAGTTCCCAGACCTGCAGTGGCTCTACGACCCAGAGGTGCAGGGCTTCAATGTGACACACTTGCAGCAGCTCTGGGCCAGCCACGCCGTCAAAACCCACGTGCTCCGGGACATGTTGGCAGGGCTGGATGCTGCTCCCATTGTCACCAGAAAAGGTAGAGGGAGTTTGTGGGGAATAACTTGGAGTACACACTGACAGACAACGGGGTTAGATGGGATATTGGGAAGGAATTGTTCCCTGTGAGGGTGGGCAGGCCCTGGCACAGGGTTCCCAGAGCAGCTGTGGCTGCCCCTGGATCCCTGGGAGTGTCACAGGCCAGGCTGGACAGGGCTTGGAGCAACCTGGGATAGTGGAAGTTATCCCTGCCTATGGCAGGGAGTGGAATGAGATAAGCTTTAAGGCCCATTCCAACACAACCTTTAGGGGATTCTGTGAATTACAGAGGATTAACTGGTTTAAAAAAAAAAAAAAAAATAAAAAAAGGATTGGGTAATTAAATGTTGTTTTTCCATGATGTCACAGGTCCAGGGAGCAGCCTGGTGCCCTGGGGTGAGCTGCAGCCCCCACTCCACAGCCAGATCAGCGGCTTCGTGGAAGGGGTCCAAGCCCGCAGCTACAAGCCCCTGCTGGCCCGGCCCAGATGCGAGGGGCTGGAGGCCCGGATCGAGCACTTCGTGCGGAGGGGCCGCATCGAGCCGCCCCAGGGCCCGGGGCTGCCGGGGGATTGGGCCGGGGAGCCCCCCGAGGGCAAGCGGGGCAGCACCGGAGCCCCCGAGCAGCTGCCCAAGAGGATCTGCATGGACACCGAGTGACGGGGCACCACGGCATAGGGGCAGCTAAGGCTTCACCTTTTTTACTGTTACTGGAAAAAAAAAAAATGCGCTTTTTTAATGCTATTTTTTATAAATCTCAAGAGAACCGGAGTAACGGTGTTATGTTGTGGCTGGGGGCAGTGGGAGGGGGCTCAGTGCCCCC